GGTGCCCTTTTATAAACTTGTTTGGGATTGGTGTAATTGTACCGTCCGCTGCTTGGATGGAGCTTCCTGTCCCTTTATTTTGCACAGGAGAATTGGGCCCATCCGTAATAGATACAATGAGGAGAGCAAAGAGATAACAACTCAGTGAGCTAGCAAGGCAGGGAACCTTTTCTGCTGGGAACTTAGTAACACAGCTCTATTCATTTGTGCTGGGAGTAACGCACTTGGAAAGAAATAGTGCTGTGCAAAGATAGCCCTGGAACAGACTGATGGCCAAAACTGAAATTTCAAAAGGGATGCTACAATCAAGCCAATACAACGTGAAAGGACTACTCTGTAGTTCTCACTCCCCCCATCCTTATTTTTTGTTTCTCTGTGAGATTCTAACTGACGACCTTTAAATGTGTCCCTGAATTCACTGACTTCTTATATTTATCTTCTACTCATAAACACTGGTATGTTTTCCTCACCAGCTCAATACTCATCCTTTGAATTCTCATTCTGAACCATGCAGCCCAATCAATAGTAGTTTTTAATTTTTCCTCTAATTACATAATAATACATCAACATGCTAACATTCAAATTACTCATATATGATATAGTTTGTCATTTAAAGTTCAGCAAAATATTACCCATCAGAAATATTGGGTATAAACAGTCTGTTGTGAATTTTTCATCTATGTTTTTCTATACGTATATGAAGATTATATATGTATGTGCATATATATATTTAAATGATATTATCCCATATCAATTTAACTTATATACATTTGTCTGTTAAAACTCTTTATTGTGTCCCAAGCCTTTACACTAGGCACAACCATTTTATATACTATGAGTTTGTAGTATGTTTTATTTCTTGGTAAGGTGTGATTTGAATCTTTTTAAAATCTCTCTTCCATTTGGTGAAACTTTCACCTTCCATATAAATTTTAGAATCACTGTAACAAACATTCCTCTGAAAATCTTGCTGGATTGTTTCTTGAAATTACATTGAATTCATCAATTCAGTTGAGGAGAACTGACATCTTTAAAATGTTCATGTGTCCTTTCCATGTGCATGGTTTATCTCTGCATTTAACCAGATCTTCACTTAAGCACTTTAAGCATAATTTTAAAATAGTATCTTTAAAGGTCTTGTTGCTTGTAATGATGCCAATTTCTACACATTAAGTTTTTTTCCTACTGTAAATGGTATGTTAATTTCTAAAACTTTTAGATGATTTTTGCTGGTATAAAGAAAACTATTGACTTTTTAAGTTCATCTTATATGTGAACATCTTACCGAACATATAATTCTAAAAATCTGTTTATTATTTTTAATGATTATATCATATGAAAATAATGATGATTGAACTATTTTTATTCTGATCCTTAAAACTCTTCTTTCTTCCATGACTTAGTGTGTTGGTCAGGACTTCCTCTTTCAGATTGAGCAGTTACAATAATAAGGGCAGTCGACTGTTTTCCCCTTGGTGCAGAGCCCTCAGCACAAGGAGGCTGCCTTCTCCGAGGTTGCACTCACTCCCTGCGGCAGCTCCAATCTAATGACTAGTTAATGAGAGAGATCAAAGGCCTGGGCCACATGCCCCAATTTAGGCAACTCTGAGAGGCCATTCCGGGGCTCCTTATGTGATTATGAGGGTTCTTGTTTTTGTTTCCTCAAATATTATTGGATAGAGTCATACTTGCCTGCACCAATCAGCACTATGCTGAATACTAAAGGAGGCCCTTCTGTAGATTTTTGAAACTCTCTTTATGCTGTTCTATCTTATTCAGTACTCTACCCTCTGAATTCGAGCTGCTTTGGCCTCCCCTGATCCCCAAATCCATCTCCTCAACACAGGAAGACTGTCAGGCACACCCAGGTTTGCCCTCCCTTTGACATGGCCTGGAATGTCTCTCTAGTAAGCTGCACCGATCTTTCTCCACTAAACAGGACTCACCTCATTTGTTTCTTTTTTTTTCTCAGGGATCATCCTCCATTGCCTCATTGCCTGATGTCCAATGTCTTCAGAACCATTGTTTCACATACTTTGTCTAGTTTTTGTTATTGTTGTTGTTTCAAGTGAGGGGATAAATCTAGTCCTATTGCTCCATATTGACAATCTGAAGTCCTCCTCAGTAATGGAAAATCATGCTGGACAAGCAGATGAAAGCACCATATAACTTCTGACTCCTCCTTGGGCTCAGGGTTGGATTTGTGACTGCATAAGCCCCCTACGCTCCCCACAGTCAGGAGAGATTTTGTGTTACAGCTGAAGCCTTAGTATCTTAGGAGGACTGACTATACATCATAACAAAAGGGAATATACCTGCAGGGGGACCTGAAGTCAGGGTGATTGGGGGACTCCAAAATATATCTAAGAAATTTGAAGAAAATAGATTTTAGGACTGGAGAAAGGGCACTGGTGTACAGAAATGGGAAATCAAGTGAGATATGACTAGTTTAGGACCTTCAAGGTTAAGAATGGTACTTAGGTTTATTTTTAAGTGAAGAGTCTATCAAAATTTTCTTCCCTGTGTGTGGAGACATTAGGATGTATACTCAGAATTAATATGAGTGTCTCAGGGAAGACCATGTAACTATAAATTTTTTGCACAGGGTTGAGCAAGGACAGCTGTATGACCAGGCCTCCAGGTTAATTACGTTTGGTTCTGGGCACCCCAATCTCTGTCTTCATCCATAAGAAGAGAATTTATGCCAAAATTTCTCAAATAATCAAACACTGGAGATGACAAAACCTACAGAAGTGTCAGCACGAAAATGTAGTCATCTTTCTCTCCCGCTCACATATCCAAATGATAATCAAGTTCCACTCATTTTTTAAAGAAACTTCTTTAAAATATTTTCTAATCACTTTTTTGTGCCCTTTACAGTTAAAGAAATTAAGCAGCTCCCCAGCTCTCCACTTTTCACCAAGTTTTTATTATGCTGTAATGCATAAAAATATATACATTTTCATCTAATACTTACAATTTACCAGTCAAGAGACATTTCAAAAACAAGATCATATTTGTTGTGACAGGGATTACATTTCAAATGCATTTAAGAATTTTAGAATCTACTCACCAGAACCAGAGCCTAAGGACCTCCTAATAGAGTGGTCCTTGCTTTTTTTATTTGCATGCTGCAAATAAAACTTGTGTCTAACCTTTGGGTTAAGTTATTAAATGAGCCTGAGCCCTATATTCCCTACTAAAAGGGGCTATGTAATAAACTTGACAAACTTAGGGGGCCTCATGGCAAGCCTGACAAGCACAATGACAAAAAGTAACCGTACAGGATGGTCTGATCACAAATTCCTAACTGGGCAGGTCATGGTGGGTAGTCACATCCCAGGCCTATAGCTTCCATAGCAAAGGTCAGTCTTTACCTTAAGTGAGTTCTGTCCATTGTTCTTGTATATAGAATAACACGCCTTTGAAATGTTAGAGTAATCTTTTCCAAACCCCTGGGAGACATAATCATCTGGTAAATCACCCAGTGGAGCACGATAACTCTGAAACTTCTCGCTCTTTTCTTGTTGCCCACATACCACCTCTATGAACTGTAAATGTTAAATGTTCACTATCCTGTACCCACCAATGTCAAAGAATATGTGTGTCTCCATTTTACTTTTTATCCAACCCTAGAGATTTCTCTCCAATCCTTTGCTTTCTACAGCCTCCTTAATCTACCACCAATGGATTTCCTGTATCTCCCTTATGTTCTCTCCTTTGATTCTCTAAATGCATAAAATAAACTGCAAACTGCCATTCTCCAGAGCATTTTCTTAATCCTTTGACCTCTTGCTTCTGGGCATGTCCTCAAAATTTTGGCTGAAATAAACTCATAAAATTTTTTTTATAGGTTTGGACATTCTTTTTTCAACATACCCATGTAAATAATGACATCACTGCCTATAAATTATAATACTATACAGTAAAACCTTGGATTGTGAGTAATGTGATTTGCAAGTGTTCTGCAAGATGAGCAAACATTTCTAATACATTTTAATGTGGTAAATGAGCAATGTCTTACATTATGAAGAGTTTGTTTCCAAAATGAATTATGCTCGCAAACCACAGTATTACTGTATTATGTTTTCTCACCCATATTCATCAGGTAATAACATCCAAAAGTTTTACCATATTCCATACTTATCATCCCCTCACTTGAGGCTCTTAAGTGCAACTCCAGACTGTATGGAACATGATTTTTAGTACACAGAATGTCCCCTATACCGCCACAGTCAGCTTTATCATGTCCCACGTTACTGGTCTTCTCATTCCCCACCTCCACCTCCACTTGGGTCCTCAGTGTCCTCATCTTTCTCGAAAAAGTGTGAATGTGTGTGGCTTCTGCTGGGCATAGATTGGTACTCGTATGAATATTATCCTTTGTAATGGAAGCTTGAACAGTCATGATTGGAAAAAGATGGTGATCTGTCTAAATTCTGTGCCTCTGCTTAGTTCTTCCTTACTCTGAAGGGGGAGGCTCTAGAGAGAAGATACCTATTGACAGAAACAGGTTCACAAAAATGACACAGACGTCATGCCTGAAGAGCAAAGCTAGAGCTTCAATTGTACCTGAGGAAGGAGTGTCATGTCTCAGAAACTCTCTGCAGTCAGATAGGCCTGCACTTGATCTGATGCCGACCACTCACCAGGTGGAACCTTTGTCAACATGTCTCCATAAACTTTTGTTTCCTTATATATAAAGTAGAATAATAATTCTTACCCTGCAGAATTGTTATAAAGGTGATATGATTTAAATTTATTAATATCTAGATGCAAAATTAAGTGTAATAACTAAGAATGTTAGTTACCTGAACTATGTAAATGAACTTTGATCAGATACTAAGAGATCCACAGTAACTTCTGATATGGGGGGGACAGAGAGTAGGTAGAAAATATTCACTATCCAAACATTATTATACTGTGTGAAATCTCAAATCCTAAAATAGAAACAGAGGGAATAGTAATAGGCATTTCTATAGAGAGTTCCTTCTGGGTATTTAAATCTTCCTCTGTAGCAACTTCTGAAACCCCTGCTTTAACTCTTTGGTCCGAAACCCATATACAATAGGGTTCAAAGCAGGAGGTATGAGGTGATGAAGGACATTGAGCAAGATCAGGACGTCCATGGGGACTCTCTTCCTGGACACATTTGTCAACACCACAACCAGCAGGATGGTGCTGAAGAAGAGGATAAGGATGAAGTGGGAGCCACACGTGCTCAGGGCTTTGACTGTAGCCCCTTCTGCCTTGAATTTAAGCACAGTCCTTAGGATGAAGGTGTAGGAGAGGAAGATGAGGGTGAAATCTGAGCCCAGTAAGGTCCAACCAGCCACAAACTGGTAGATTCTGTTGAGGGTGAAATTGTCACAGGAGAGCCTGGACACGGACAGGTTGGCACAAATGCAGTTCTCAATGACATGTTTTCCACAATAATGAAGCCGGGCAGAGAGAATAGGAATGGGTACAGTGATAAGGGCATTTCGTATGACGATGAAAACACTAGCTTTGGCCACAAATTGGTTAGTAATGATGGATGGATATCGCAGTGGGTGGCAGATGGCCACATAACGGTCATAGGCCATGACCATGAATGTGCAGGACTCCATGGGGAGGAAACTGTTCATGATAAACATTTGAAGGAAGCAGGCCGAGAAGCTGATGGACCTGAGGTCAAACCAGAAGATGGCCAGGACCTTGGGGATGACGGTGAGGCAGAGCACAATGTCCAGCAGAGAGAGGAGGCTGAGCAGGTAGTACACGGGCTCGTGCAGAGAGGCCTCTAGCCAGATGGTGATCAGAAGAATACCATTGGCCCCCATGGCCAAGAGGAAGAGGAGGCTGAGGGGCAGGGACAGCCAGTGCTGCCAACTCTGGTAGTTAGGGAAGCAGATGAGGAGGAATTCAGAAACTGGAGCAGTGGAGTAGTTGCTGGGAGATGTCATGAGATAAATCCTAACATGAGGACATTTCACCTGGGTTTCTGTATGGTAAGACATGAACTAGGTCAATAGAAAATGAAGTTATCAAAATATAGAAAGTTATCAAAATATTGAAGTTATCAAAAAATAGAAAAATGATGAGATATAGAACAGCAATCCCAAATAAAAGCCAAGTTCAGTGAAGATAAATATGACTAGGGGGAGGGCTTGGCAAAATATTTCTAAAGATAATTAGGAAAAATATAAATAATAGACTAGCCACAAGGTTCAGAAGGAAAATAATGAAAAGAATTACTTCATTAAAATAACTGTAAAGCTACAACATTTTTCTATGTGATTCTGACAAAGCAAATTGACTAATTATAGATCCCATAGGCCAGAAATGCTCATTAGTTTACAGAATAACCCAGAATTAATAAAGATGTCATTAAATCACATTTAACTGCAGGTCTTTTTAGTACGTATTGCTGACATAATTTGTTAGATAGTGGTAAAAATTAGTTTTTCCTCACTTTTTATCATACACCAAAGTAAATTTGAGATGAAAAATTTATGATGTGAATGGTTCTCCCAATCTTATGATAAAATAAAAGAAAATAAAAGTAAACATTAAATATAAAGAGGTTACCCCCAATTTTTCTATCATTCTGACTTATTGTACCTTTAGCACAAACCTTCCTGGACATACTTAATTCAAGCCTGCACAAGTGCAGTTCAATGTTCCTATAGAAAGTTATGCTCAAAGGCAGGCTGTTTTCATTAACATTTTGGCCACCAACCTCAAATGAGCACTTAATAGGCATGTTCAATATAACAGCTCCTGGTTAGTTCACTTCTTCACTCATGGCAATCAGTTTTTCAGATTTTCTACATTTTTTCAAATGCAAAATCCTCTCCTCTGTTCTACAAAGAGAGCAGAGACTATCAGATGCAAGTACCTCAATTTCCCATGATAGACTTATAAACCGGTAGCTACTTAAACCCTTATTTTCCTCTTTGCATTTGACTCAAGGATCTACCCCTCCTCCTAATTCCAATCCCTTCACCTCTGATTTGGAATCTATCCACCCTGATATTCTCAGGAACTTTAACCTATTAATTATCCAGTCAATTTTCTGTGTATTCAAGCTCTCCCTTCCTAGATCCTTCCCATGAACATTCAAAATACACAAGGTTCTCAGATCTTAATACATTTCTACATCTATCCCACATCCTCATTTGGTGTAAAGACCATGACTTCAGTTTTGAACAAAGATACCAAATCTCTACCTCTTCTTCCTTTTTTTTTTTCCACACTGAATCTTAAAGAACCAGAATAGGAAAAAGACATCTAAAAGGAGACAAGCAAATGTTAACTTTAATAGTCCAGGTGAGAATTGATCAGTGTGTAACTAGATGGCTATGGAATTGCTCTGAGGGTGTAGAAAGGGCTACATTTTAGAGGCATAATTATATTGTCATAGACAGAGATCACACTAAGTAGTTATATAGAGGAAGAAAGGATAGACATTCTAAAATTGTATTGTCTCTTCTGGATTAAATGACTAAATTAATTTTACAAGACAGACAATAGGCTTTGAAAAGACCTGGTATGTGTTGTAGAGGCAGAAAGGATGGGTCCAATTTTGATATGTTGAGTTATAGCTTCTGTAAGCTATCAAAGTAAACATGACCATGAACTGTTAGAGAAAAGAGTTGGAATTCACTTGAAATTGTCAAGTGAATAGGTAGAGAATTGGAAACTATCAGCACATAGGACATAGTTCAAACCATAGCTATTCTTATTTCTCATGCTGTACTCATTCTCTTTCTTTCTTTCTTTCTTTCTTTTTTTTTTTTTTTTTTTTTTTTTTTTTTTTTTTTTTTTTTTTTTTTTTTTTTTTTTGGTCTTATCCTGCCACCCTGATAGGTCCTTTCCTTAGCTCTTTGTTGTTTTTTTCTTGCCCCTTAAATGGTGCTTATCCATGATCATACTTCACAAATCCAAGTCTCTGATTCATCCACCTCCCTGTCTTCATTCCTTGCTTGCATTGCAGAGAACTGTTCTAATTCAGCTCATCCTTCTGCTATCTGAATTTCACTAAGGAGAGTGTACGTAATATAGGAAAAGAAAGGAGAGGGTAAAAAAGAATAGGTGGAGAGAAAAAAGGGTCAGATGCCTGGATATAATGTCAGGTGGAAGTACACACATGAATATGAGTTGAAGTTTTTATATATTGTTAATAAGAACTATTAGAAACTTACTGTCTACTAAAAGACGTCACAGATTAGAGAGAAAGTGGTGACTCTTCTATTTTGCTTTTTCAATTCAAGCACACTTAGAATATTGTGTTCAGTTCAGTGCACTTTGATTTAAGGAACATTTTTTTGAAACTGTAAGTCATAGAAGAAAGTGGCCAGGACAAAAACTTAAAAACTCATCCTGAGAAGCAATTTAGGAAAGTGAAGATATTTTACCTAAGTGATGCTTTCCACAAGGATGGCTGACTTTTGAGAGGAAGAGATATAAACTAGGACCACTAAGAGAGAAATCTGTTTCTGTTGAATGTGAGTCCTGTATAATAATCAGAAGTGGCTTTCGTTCTTGTTAACACTACTCTACTGGAACACGCCAGGACAAGGCAATAACCAAGTTTCCTCATCATCTCTCTCTGAGCCTCATGGGCCTGGGTGCTCAGTGTCTTATTAAACTCCAAACACTCTCCCTGTTCCAGAACCATCCTTTCTTCCTCTGGAATCCTTAGACAGCCATATGGATTTCAGTCATGTACTTACTAAAATTCTCACCTGAGAAATCATGGGACCCCTTGTACTCAAATATATGCGAATGCTGAGACTATAGAAGTGCATTTTCTTCCAGGAGGAACATAGGATTTCTGAATTTTCATGCATCCAATACCAACACTCACAGCTTTGTCTTTTTTTATCATTGAAGCCAAAATAATGATGAGAAGGTCTCCTGCTCTGAGTACCCTGGAAACCCAACTGCTATGGGTCCCACACAACATTGCTTCCATCCCTTAATCCTGGAACTCACCAAGGATGCAACAGATTGGTCCTGCCCAAGGAGTCAGCTGCCTGCATCCAGAAACCAGAACTTGAACTATTTCCTTGGCTTTGATGAAAATATCTAGAGGGTTTTATGATCTATAGTCAATTCTTCACACTACCCCACCCCTACTCCAAGCCAGCTGGGAGCAGTAGTAGTTTGGGATACTGGGTCCCACTGGCTGATGAGCTGGATCTCATGGGAACTGTCTTCTTACTTTATGTTACAGTTACTGAGTGCTAGTAATTGAGAAGTAGGGATCAAGATTTGAAACTCACTTAAAATTCAAATCTGCATTTATCTGCTTGACACCACAGACCATGCTCTTAAACATTACTTTATATCATTTTCAACATCCTGAAATGGTATATTGAACCTTTCCAGAATTTCTTAACAAAGCTATACTGTTTCCTACATTTTATATTATCCTGAATTCAACTCAGCTATTCGATATCTGTACAAATTTGGGCAGCTGATTAACCCTATGTACACCTCAATAATGCAATGAATATGTACTATTATCATCAATCATATGCCTAGCACAAGAATAGTCACAAGAATAAAAAGTAATTAAGTGATAAAGTGAATAAAGTATTTAAGGTCCCTGCCCTTGTTGAGATTCTTATATATAATAGTAATTACATTACATTATAGGATCAGTAGCTTTCCATTGTTCATAAAATAAAACTAATTTTCTTAATATGAACTATTCAAGACTACACATGAACTGTACTGTTAGCTTCATGAGCATTAGATCCATGTTGATTTTGTTTCTCATTAATGTGGTACCTCACAGTGTTTAGAATGTAGTGGGATCAACACATTTTTTTACCTAACTAATTAATACAAGGTCATACATAATCTGACTTCTTCCTACCCTCTAGTGTATTTAGAACCACTTTTCTGAGTGAGTGATTATTCCAGTCACAGACATTGTTGAATGTCTCATGGAGTGTTGTGATGATGAAGTTAAAATAAAACCAGTCAGATTCATTATGGGATTGTTTTTTCTCCTTTACCAAACAGAAGAAGAAAAATGAAAGGGGAAGAGGAAGCGGAAAGGAAAGGGGAGGGAAGGGAAGGGAACGAAAGGGAAGGTTAGATTCCTGTATGGTGTTTTGTGAGGTATTTTTTTTGTTTTTGTTTGTTTGTTTGTTTTTGTCATTTCTACCACTTTATTAAAATTCTCATTTTGTTCAAACATTGTTAACCTCATTTTGTTTGGTTGTCTGTGTATTCTTGTAATTCACTGAACTTCTTTAAAATGATTATTCTGAATTCTTTGTCGGACAATTCATAGATAACCTTTCTTTAGGTATTAGTAATTGGAGTTGTATTAGATTCCTTTGGTGGTATTGTATTTACATGATTCTTTGGGATCCTCGTATCCTTGCATTGATATTTTCCCATTGGAGTAAGCAGTCTCCGCATCCATACTTTACAGGTTTACATTGGCAGGGAACGGCCTTCACCAGTCAGCTCTGCTTGGGGTACTGGATGGGTCAGCTGGGAGCACTCATGGCCAGGTGGGGCTTGCTATCGTGGTCTCTAGTTGAGCAAGGCCACTACCAGTGCTCTGAGGTCCTGGGGGGAAGGAAGTCAAGCTGACTGGGTTTCAAAGTTGGGTGATCCTGCTGTCTGGCTACTGCATTCAAACAGGGCTGCTGAGTGGGCTCCCTGGTCAGGTGGAGCTGTTGACTGTGAGCCCCCTCATTAGGCTCTGCAATCATCTCTGGTTGGACAAGGTTGCTACCTGTGTTCCCTGGCAGAGCAATGCCACAGGTTGGACTCTGCAACTGGGGAGGGCTGCAGGCTGCACTCTGTAAATGCTCCTGGTCAAATGGGGCCTCTGACATGCTCTTCAATTGGATGGTGTTGCTGGTTAGATTCTGTGTTCAGGTAAGACCACAGACAAGACTTCACAGTCAAACGGCCTCAAGCTGTGCTCTGCAATCAGA